AACCCTTCTCCACTGCTGGTAGGAATGTAGACCGGTGCAACTGTTATGGAAATCAGTGTGGAGACTCTTTAGAAAACTAAGACTGGAAATCCCATTTAAACCAGCTATTCCTCTACTGGGAATTTTCCCAGACGATCTGAAAACATCATATCATAGGGATATATGTGTGCCTATGTTTATAGCAGCACAATTCGTGATAGCCAAATCCTGGAAACAACCAAGATGCCTATCACCTGAGGAATGGGTGAAAAAGATGTGGTGTTTTTATACAATAGAGTATTACTCAGCTGTAAAGAATGATAAACTCGAAGCTTTTATATTTAAGTGCATGCCACTTGAAGATATACTCATAGGTGAAATAAACCAGACACACGTGTAAATATCGTAGTTTCCCTAGTATAAGAACACAAAAGAAGAAATACAAATAGAAAGGTATAATACAATTAAAAGGAAAGCAAGAACTTGAGTACTAGATAATGAAGAGAGAGCAAGGAGAGGAGCCAGGAAACATGACAGAGGCAAGTCAAACAGTTATATGTACAAGATGGGCAAGGTAATGGTCCTGAGAATCTTCAGAAGATTTTCAAATCTAGCAGTTAATTGTAAGGATTTTCACCCTGACTAACTATATATACTGACACCTGTGAACTAAGTAACTGTACTGAAGATGGCAATGCATAATAGTAGGTTCTAGCTTGGAGTGCCTGTCATTCTGGACTTCTGAATATGGGCTGCTTGTCCTGACATGCCAGTTGCTGCCGTGCTGTCTCTCAGGTAGATGATTCTTTAAAAAGGAAAGTGGTGGTGAATGAAGGCAGGAGATAGGAAAAGGAGTGTCGTAGGAGTATCCTGCAATTAAGTTGTATATGGATAGATTTCTGGAACTTATGTGTAAACATATACAATTTTTGATTCCTATTTTTTAAATATAGTTTAATTTTCTAAATTTTTTTGTCACATTCTGTAGGGACTTAGTTTAATATATCAATACTTCATGAAAAACACCTGTTCCGTGTTATGCCTAAAATGTTTTATATTAAGACACATAGTGAGGTTAAGCTCAACAGCGTAGGTTATATGGTAATAATAATAAGCTTCTCTTCTGGAGGGTTAACAACCTAAGTTTGCAAACCACAAATTAGAGAAAAAGCAGGGCCGCAAGGAAAGCCAACATTTTGGCCCTAGCCTTCCAAGGTCAATTAAAACTCAGGACATATGAGAACCTGTACTGTAACATCATGTAACTCATTTGTGTCCCAAATTTTCTGATCAAGGAGATTATGGGGCCAAAGAGGAAAGAGATCGATGACGTAGAGTGTGTCTAAGGAGAGTCACATGGGGAGAAGACACTCTCTCAAGCTTTCCCAGAGAGCACATTGGCCAAGCAATGGCCGTGACTCATCCACATGGCTGACACTGACAAAGGTTCTACCATCTGAGGTACAGGACCTCAGGATAAATCCTGAGGGGATTTGACTGACCTTATCAGATCCAAAAGCTACAACTCTTGTTACATAGGTTTTGCATTTTCTTGGTCTTAACCATACAGCAGAAAAGTATAAAAACGAAGTATAAGAAGTAAAGCCATGCTGTTATGTTGAGCTGTAGGGGACTCAGGTCAACAATTTCTGACACTGCCAGTCAAGCAGAAGACCCAATACTATTATGGACTACTGGACTCTTTTAGAATATTTTGCTGAGTTCACACACCTATAATATTCAAATGACAGAACTAAATAAGAAAGGGGATACTGACGAATGTCCATTTTGTATCTGTGTATTCAAAAGGTTTAGGATAGATATATAGTTACATTCTCAATGAATAGAGGGATTTGTTCTAATAGTGTTTGTAAGTAGGATATCATGTCTGCATGTTGTACAGCAAATGACCACTAGGAAGAGAGTACTGAATGTGTTAATTATTGAAACTGTCCTACCAATTTGATTTGAAACTGTCTCATTGCTATTTCTCAATAAAATTATGGGAAAAAATCCTTAATGAACACGTACAACACACAAACCAGTAACACAGTGCTTGGGATAAAGTAAGACTGTTGCTGTCCTCTCAGAGTTCACAATCTGGAAGATCTCAAACACTGTTCAGGTAATTATCAGTAAGGTAAGTGATATGAAAGCAGACTGTAGTTATCTGTCTCTGTGGCCTAGGCAAACAGCTGGAGATGGGAACCAAGAAGTTCAAGGGTATGACTGTTCTTCATAGCACTATCAGAACCATTTTATATCCTTGGTGGTACCAGGGATCAAGTTCTGGGGCATTCCTCCCCTGAAGTACACCTCCAACTCTCTTACTTTTTACTTTAAGAGAGGTTCTAAGTTGTCAAGTCAGAGCACAAGCTTATGATCCTCCGGCCTCAACCCCCCTGAGTGCTGAAATTATAGGTATATATCAACACAACTGATTTCAGGACAGTTTTACCACTTGAAATTGGTCAAATGTCCAACAATTGGATATTGTTTTAATACATTATACTCTGTTTATGTAATATAATATTTATACCTACTACGATTCATACTTTTGAAAATTTCTCTTGACAAGGCAAGGGGCTGGGGAGATGGCTCAGTAGAATAAGCACTTGCCTGGCAAGCACAAGGGCCTGAGTTCAATCCCCGGTTCCGCCAAAAAAAAAAAAAAAAAAAAGGACAAGGCAAAGAACTTAAACTGTACAGTTAAAAGCAAAAAACAAACTTCCAAGTAATTTGTACAATGTGATACAATTTCAATAAATATATGAAAATAAATATGTGTTTAAGAATATGTACAATGTGTGTATACATAATGTGTGTATATGTATGTAACATACACACTAAAAGGACTCATAGTAAAATGGTGGGATATTAGTCATTGGGACTTACTTTATTTGTGATTTTTAAGGGTTTCCAAATTTCTCCATCTGAAATTAGAAGTTTCTGCTTCACTTCTGAAATCTTTCAAGCTACTACCCAGTATATCATAGTGGTTATACTAACAAAGGTGCCTACCAGTTCCACAACTGGCCTTTATAGTTTACTGAAGAAAACAAAGGAAGAGGAATTAATTCATCCTGAGGCAAGAGGATACAGAACCTGACTACTTTGAAAGACAAAATATTTAGGAGGCTTAAAGCAGGAAATAAGTAGTTGCTTAGGGGTAAAAATATAGATTAAAAGAACAAGATAGATATTCAAAAAGAATAAATTAATTCTAAAGTCATTCAGAAAACAATATTACCTGAGAATGTGTCTCATTTTCTTGTAATTGTGTTCTCAGTGTCTCATATTCGCTATTTAGCTTCTCTGTTATTTTCTTAAAGGCATTTTTCCGAGTTGATAATACCATTCTCTCCTGATGCAATTTCTAAATAGATCCAAATTGAAGTAAATGACAGCATATAGCAAGCATGTAGTAATGCAACCAGAATAATACTGGGTTAAATAATTACAGTGATTATATTCTGATAAAGTTTTGCCACAGCATAATTACTCTTAAGATTTGCTTGGAGGGGGCCTGCCCAGTAGCTCAGTTATTTAAGTGCCTGCTTAAACAAAGTCCTCAAGCTCAAGCTTCTGTGGTTCGAACCCAGATAGTGACGGCAAACCAGAAAAGCCCTAAAGGCATTTGGGGCCTCCAAAAAAAAAAAGATTTGCTTGGAAAAAATTATTTGAAGTACATTAAAAGCTATGTTGATATTAACTGTACTAATAATGACACTTCCATGTCCATCTCTATCACACAAAGTTCAATTTAAATTAATGCAAATAGCAATAAAAAGACACTGACAAGTTTTCAGTAGAGAAATATATCAAATCTACATTTAACAAAGTTCATATTTGTTAAGATGCTCTGCATTTTAATTAATTTTATTGAGAAAGAAATAGCAATGAGACAGTTTCAAGACAGATCAGTAGGACAGTTACAATAATTAATATTGCATATTGGGGCCGGGGAGGTGGCTCAGTAGAATACGTGCTTCTCTGGCTAGTGCAAGGGCCTGAGTTCAATCCCCGGTTCCGCCAAAAAACAAAAACAAACAAACAAAAAAAAGATGCAGACATGATATATTGTCTAAACACTACTAGTACAAATCTTTCTTCTCATTGAACTAAGAGAAAGTAGCTGTCTATCTAACCTAATTTGTATATACAGATATATTTATATAGATAGATATATTTTTTTAACTACAAAATGGTCCTTCATTTATATCCCCCTTTTTTATTTACTTTTATCAGAGATGGGTATTCCATTGCCATTCAAATATTGTAGATGCATGAATTCAGCAAAATAATCCAATATAATCCAGTAGACCATATTAGTAGTGGGTTATCTACAGGACTGGCAATGTCAGAAATTGTTGACTTGAGCCATTTATAGCTCTGTATTAAGTAGCAGCTTATATCCCATTTTTCAATTTTTGCCTTTTAATACCCCAGGTCATTGTAAATTCCAGCTATATAATGTGAAAAATTGTATTATGTGTTAAATAATCAACCAAAATAGTATTATGGACTACATATAAATTAAAACTAATAAAAAAACCAATTTGAAGTATAACTTTGTGTAACTCCGTTGGCATTTACCTTTCTCTTTTCTTCACCTGATAATTTTAAAGCTGGCAAATCATTATATGTCTCCAGATCAGCTGTCATTTGCTTAATTTTGCTTTTTAGAGAATGTTGTTCCTCTATCATCTTACTTTCCAGGAGCTCCATTTTCTGTAGATCTAACTGTAGACGTTGACTGTCTGAATAAATAGAAATTTAAGGATATGATTAATCAAAACTTTATTTCTTTCACATAGGAAAACACAATTAAAAATCATGTTTTGCAAAGGTATCTATAAAAGAAATGTTCACTGTGACCAATGAAACACTATACAATCAAGTAAAGAAAGCTTAGCTCCTTTATTAACCTATTTAACTTGATATATATTAACCATACCTGTCTCCATGTTCATATAAATATAAAAACACACTGGAGGGTTTTTTCTTTTTGGTACTAGGAATCAAACCCAGGGCCTCACATTTGCCAGGAAAGTACTGTACCATTAAGTTACATATATCCCTGGCCCTTAGAGTTTTTTGTTATACTTGATAATATAACTTGTGATATGAGGTCATTATTTTAAAATTTTAAAACAAGGTCAGAATACATACTCATAACAGTTATGTAAAGAATCAATATTATCACAAAACACTGCACAGATACACAATTGAGACAACATCATAATTACATACACTGTCCACTCAATTCTCACTGTTTGCGAGACGTATTTCCTAGATAATCACCACAAATCATGAGTCAGCAGACCCGAGCTACTGCTCCTGGGGAAACACAGCCTCTGGTCACAACGCTCTGTCAACTTTCTGAAACATAATCTTGCTTTTTGTGTGCTTCGATTTAGAAACATTTTATCCATATACACTGCTGCTGACTTGTTAGCACTTAACTTATGGCGAATAATACGAGGATTTGCATGAGAAATTAAGCTTATCCAGGGCACATTTACTCCATAAAGCAGCTTTCTTGCCCTTAGGAACACGAGACATCCATTGCACTTCACTTTAGGACTGTTTTAAATAAAAACTGAAATAACAAGACAAACTTTCCCTTTTCAATCTCTTCTGGGAATTGTGCGTGTCAGGCTGCTCAAAACTTTCACCACTCTGCACAAATCTATGAAAGGTCATGAACATGCAATAAGCATTGATTTGGGTTACAAATTAATTTCAGTGAATAGGAAAGTTCAGAAATAGAATCTATGGACAATGAAGACTAGCCACACACATGAGCATGTATTTGTCATTCTTTCATTCAAAAGCACATGCCAGGCAGTGAGGACAGAGGTCACCAGAGACTGCTTTCACTCAAGCAGCTATGTCCCAGGAGAACAGAGAAGAAACCCTCTGCAAAAAAGTGGCTGATTATGAAGAGAGCAGCGCAGCATGTCATAAGAGCACATGGCAAGGATAAAGAGAAGCTCTGCAAAGACAGGGCTCTTAACTGAGGTCTTAAGGATTTGTAAACAACCAAAGAAGGACAAAAGTGGTGCAGAAAAATGAAGTGTATAAAAAGTAGACAGAGGTAAGAAGGTACAGTACCAAGAACCAAAAAACAGAAACTTGTTATGCTGAATATTAATGACATTTAATACTCATATTAAATGGAAATGAGTAACAAAAACGTTTCAAAACTCATTGATATAAAAAGAGGTGCCTATATCACCAAATTTTTAAAAGTTGTTATAAAGACTCTTCGAATTTTTGAATTTTTCCTGAAGCATTTTAAGGGGCCAGGGAGATAGCTTAGTAGAATAAGCACTTGCCTGGCAAGTGCAAGGGCCTGAGTTCAATCCCTGGTTCCGCCAAAAAAAAAAAAAAAAAAAAAAAAAAGAGTTTGACATTCTTAAGACTGATAGGCTAAGTATTTCAAAGCAAACAGAAGTATTTTGAATGGATTAATGGCAACATGTCTTCTACTATAATATATTTAACTTTCATCTCATGTTTTTTTTACATACTATTTTTTTCTTTTTTCTTTTTTTTGAAATTGTCCAAAACTTATTGTAAAGAAAAAAATCATTAAAGCATATACATAAAAAATTAGCTATGGAAGAACAAAATTAAATAGCATCTTATTCCACATTAGAAAGAAAAAAATAAAAGACCAAGTATGTAAGAAACTAGACTAATTAAAGGACTGAAAGAAAAAGAAAATTTGTCCTCTCTGAATTTTATACTTAACAAACAAAGCTTTGAAAACTAAAAGTAAAATATTTTCCATTTATACAAACTTGAAATATTCTAATACCTCCAGACATAGCATATAGCAAATAACAAAGAGCATAATTCAAAAGGCAACAGAAGTTGCACCATGCCCCTGTCATCTCATATTTGATCACACAGAGACCACGGGTATCAAGACCTAAGTCCTACAAGGGGTTTCATTTTGTTGAATTCTTATCTCTCCTAGGGTTGGAAACAGTTATAATAACAAAATGCTGAAGAAGACACTTTTACGATGTTTTAATGCTCTGAACAGAAAATCTGCTTAGTTTGCAGATATTCTGACTGTCTGAAATAGTTATATAACTAACTGAAATTTTGGGTAAATACTAAGAAAATACATTTAACAACTATTTAAACTGACTTTTGTAGGAAAAAAAAGAAGAAAATGATTGGTTGATATAGGGTAAGGTTTATCTCTCTTTAACAACAGATTCCCTTGAAAAGCTTCTCCAAGAGAAGAGACAGGAAGAGGATGCAGTCTAGTTCCTTCTGATATGCTATAAAGTCGCAAAGTTTACCAGGCAGTGTGTACCTAGCAGCAAAATCTCTGAAGAAACCACTTTGACCTAGGGAAATGTTTCTGAAATATTGTGCCATCAGCACATTTGTTTACTCCCCGAAGCTTCCTTTCCAGAAATATAAACAAAAACTACTGCTAAAAGATTCTTTCCTCTCCGCCATGCAGCACATGAGTATTTCTCCACTTTTTTAAAAAAATTCCCTAAGGATCTCTCTATAGGCTTTTTACCCAACCGCTTCACTCCTCTGAAATTTTTATAGCACAGGAGATGGTGTAACTGTGTTTGCACTATGATTCTTTGGAAGACCACAGAATCTCAAGATTCTTTTTTCACCTTCCACCCAAGATGCAAGATCGCCCTTGGCAACCCACAAAAAGGGAATAGAAACTATAGAACACCCAAAAGGTAAACAAAAGTGTTATAGACCTCTCTATGATTATTCTCAGATGTAAAAACTTTGTTGAAGTAGGAGATGATATAAGGAAAGGAAAATAATTTATATGCTTGATTAAAATTAACATAAAAATAACTATTAGTCATATAATTCAACTTTTAGTAAAGAAAACTTGCAGCACAATCTTTATCATAACCATAAACTCAATGTTTATCTCCATGAAGTTCTCATTCTTTTTCAACTATATATCTCTGGAGAAAAAATAATGACTAGTTTTTTTTTTTTTTTTTTTTTTTTGCGGAACCAGGGATTGAACTCAGATCCTTGCCAGTCAAGCACTTATCCTACTGAGCTATCTCCCCAGCCCCAGTGAAGCGCTTATCCTACGGAGCTATCTCCCCAGCCCCAGTGACTAGTTTTAAAAGAAAAAGTAAACACAATATATAAAAGCATAGAAGGGATACAAAGTTCTGATCATTTGCTTTGTTTATGGTGCTGGTATTTGCCTTTAAGAATGTATGTTTCTTTTTATTTTAAAGAAAAAATATCAATAAAAAAGTTTCTAAACAGGCGAGGACAGTAACAATAATATGTTGCCTATTGTTATCTTCATACTAGTTATTCAGAGTATAAGATATAGGCATGAGCTATTGTCCAAACAATATTAGCACAAATATTTTTCATTGAACTAAGAGAAACTATCTGTATAACTACCTTAAGAGTCTTCTTTACATATACATACATGTACATATATTTTTCTATTTCCTTTCCTTCCTTTCCCCTTTATCCCATCACATCTTCTCTTTCTTTCTGAGCAGTCTCTTCCCTATGCTCAGCAGCTATTCCACATTTTGGATCTTCTTTACTCTTTCAGTTTCTCATACTAGTGAGACAATACCAGGTTTACAAATGTGCATATGATTTATTTCAGTTATGAGTATGTTCTCAAATTGCATCCTTTCACCTATAAAAGTCTCAAGTGTATTCTTCTTTTTAGCTGAGTAATACATTCAATTAAAAAATCACATCTTTTTTATCCATTCCTCATTTGATGTGTATTTGAGCTGTTTCCAAGATTTAGCTATTACAAAACATGCTGCTATAAATATGGATAAATATATATCACTATGGTATAATGTTTTTAATTCTTCTGGGAAGATACCCATAGGGGAGTAGGTAGATACAATGGTCCCTGCAATCCAAGATATTTGGGGAATCTCCACACTGACTTCCATAGTGGTTGCACCAGTTTCCACTACCACCAATAGTGGAGAAGGGTTTCTTTATCTCCACAGCCCCTCCACCATTTGTTATTGGTTGATTTCTTGATGACTGTCATTCTTCCTAGAGTGAAATAGAATTTCAGTGTTGTTTTAATTTGCAGCTCTCAAACAACTAATGATGCTGAGCATTTAGTCATGTACTAATCTGTCATGTGTATTTCTTCATCTAAGCAGAGTTTATTTACCTCCGATGCCCATTTTCGTTCCACAGGTATAAAGTTTCAGTTTTACAAAATGAAAAAGGTCTAGAGTTTGAAATGTTCTAGGGTGAAGTAAATTATTATAAGTACTTAATATTGAACTTCATACTCTTAGAAAAGAATAAATCAAACCCAAAGTTCACTCAAGAGAGAAAATTATAAAGATCAGAGCAGAAATTAATATAACTGAGACAAAGAAAACAATACAAAGAAACAATGGATCAAAAAGTTGGTTCTTTGAAGGGCCAGCCAAATAGTTCAGCGGGTTAAAGTGCCTGCAAACAGGTGCAGGGGCCAGAGGTTCAATCCCTGGGCCTGCCATGCTGGCCCCACCCCCAGGGCACCCTGAGATGGGGAATGAGACTGGGTGTGGTGGTGCGTGTCTATAATCCCAGCACTTGGGAGGCTGTAAACAGGCAGATCACTATGAGTCCGATCTAGTAGTGAAAACCTCAACTCCCTGTAGACCCCTCCCTAAAAATACAAAAAACAAAACAAAAGGTTGGTTCTTCTAAAGATTACATAAAATAAAGCCCCTACCCAGCCTCATCAAAAAGAGGAATGAAAAAAACCCGAATTCAAGCAATTAAGAATGAGAAGGGTAAAATCACAATGGATCCAGTAGAAATCCAGATCATTGATATCTACAATTAAAGAGCCTGTACTCTAATAAACACAGAAGAAATGGACAGATTCCTAGATACATATGAACTATAAACTGCCAAATCTCAACTAAGAAGTGTAAATATTCTCAATAATGCAGTATCAGTGAATGAAATTAAAAATATAATTTAAAACCTACCAACAAAGAAAAGCCAAGAACATGATAGATTTCATTGCTGAATTCTGTAAGAAATTTAGAGCACTCATGCCACTAATCCTGAAATTCTTTAAAAGAGAAGCAATACTTCCAAAATCATTCCTAGAACCAAGTATTACCCTCATAGTAAAATCAGAGACAGTTGCAACCAAAAAAGAAAACTTCAGACCAATCTCCCTAATCAACACAGCCACAAAAATCATCAATAACACACTGGCAAACACACTGGGGAGATAGTTCGGTGTTCTAAGCACCTGTCTGGCAATCACAAGGGCCTGGGTTCAATCCTGGGTACCTCAGGCCATGCTGGCTACCAAAACCAGGAGTAGTGGTGCACGCCTGTAATTCCAGTTCTGTGGAGGCTGCGACAGGAGGATCACTACAAGTCTGAGCTGTGTAGCGAGACCCTGTACCAAATAAATAAATATTTTAAAAAGACACTGGCAAACAAAATGCAGAATATGAATATCATCAAAAAATTATACACCATAACCAAGTAGGACTCATCCCAGGGATGCAAGGATGATCCACCACATTCAAACCTATAAATGTAATACATCATTATCAACAGAGCCAAAGGCAAATATCACATGCTCATTTGAAGAGATGCAGAAAAAGTACTAAACAAAAAATTCAACGTTCATTCATGACAAAACCCGACAGAAAATTGGGATAGATGCTCTTTATCTCACTAATAAAAACCATCTATGACAAATCAACAGTTAACATCATACTAAGTAGTCAAAGCTGAAAACTTTCACTCTAAAATCAGAAATAAAACAAGGAAGTCCACTATTACCACTCCTAATTAATGTAGTTCTGGAAAAATGAAGTAGAGCTCTTAGACAAGAGAAAGAAATAAAAGGAATAAGGATAGGAAAGGAAGAGGTTAAACTACCATTATTTGCAGATGACATGATACTTTACAAAGACGACCCCAAAAGCTCCACCAAAAGACTTGTAGATTTAATTTTTTTTTAATTTTTATTTATTTATTTATGTGTGTGTGTGTGTGTGTGTGTGTGTGTGTGT